ATGGTGTTAATCATACCTCACTCTTGGGCTCCAGCATGTCCCTCATTTGTTGATGCCTCAGACGTGTGCTAGGTATGACGCGATGAGCTGGGCTCGGACGATGAGAGGAATTCCAGGTCCACCCACACACTTTGATGATGCGAGTGGTGCTCTGAGCACCTGACTCAGCGTGAGGGAGTTCAGAAGCACAACCTGACTGGAAGTCTGAAAGGGTAATAGCAGATGGCAGGAGAGTATGCCGGGCAATGGGGACCAGAACTGCAAAAGCCATGTGCTAGGAGGACGCATGGCACATTCTAGGAAGGCAGGTGCCTGGGGAGGTTATGTCTGATCAGCAGACTCCAGGTGGAGACACACTCTCCCAGTGGTCCTTTCCCCAGCATTACCTTAGTTCATCTCCATTCTCTTATTGTGATTTCAGAATTGTAAGGGATGCCAAGACGCACTTGCCATTGAATCAATTTCAGCTCGTAGCAACCCTATAGGCCAGAGCAGAACTGCCCCGTGGGGTTTCTGAGGCTGTAAATCTTTACAGACCCAGGCTGCCACCAACCTCTTGGTTTGAAGCCCACCTCATCACTCACTACACCACCATCAGGGTGACACTTGTGATTTTCTTTGTCCATCAGTTTGCTAGGTTATAAGTTAAAGGACCCACCTGCTGTGAGGCATTGAGGGGGGCTGTCCTGTGGAAAGCCACCGTCATCAGGCAGTGACATCACCTGTCTGTGAGGTTGAACAAGGAAGGTGTAGTAAGCCAGCGTTATTAGCCAAAAATGCTTTCTTCTTTCTTTAACCTCGGTGTCTAGTCTGTCTTTTTTTATTTACCTTTTCTTGCCATCTCTAAGACCATGCACACCATCTCTTACTTTGTTTTATAGGTGTGTATAATAGACTTAAGGACAGAGGACTAAAAGTTTTTATTAACTTAGAAATGTTTAACAGATCTGTTTATGCCAACTGACAGTGGAGTAGGTTACAATAGGCCTTCACTTCTGCAGGAAGAGGTTTTGGTGTTTTCTTTGCCCCTCTGGTTCCGCCTACCTCTGTCTCCCGATTCTGCAGACCAAGCCTGGTCTCCCTGGTTCTGCAGTTCTTGCCGGCGTCTCTTGAGAGGATGACTTTTCTGCTTAACCTGAAAAATCAAAACCAAACCCGCAACTTTTCTAGTCCTTTCCGATTCGTGGTAACCTTCCGTCAGGCTCCTTAGGCTGTCAGTCTTTGCAGGAGGGGACGGTCCAGCGTCAGTCTTGTGAGGTGGGGGATTTTCTCAAACCTCTGCCCTTCCACGTAGCAGCCAGCCTAACACCTAACACATCTACACTCACCGCCTTTGAATCGGAACCGACTCATAGCAGACCCTCCAAGGGAGGATGGAAATCAGACAAGAGGAGATTGCCCGTCACTGCTGTCGTCTTAGAACTGACTCATAACTGACTCTTCAGCTGCTTTTCAGAGGCTGTAAATCACATGGGAGGCGATTGCCCATCCTCCTTCTTCTATGGTGCATCTAGTGGTTTCGAACTTCCGAAGAACCTTGGCCTTTGGGTTAGCAGCATGACTTCTCCGGACTATGCCACCAGAGTTCCCTTTAACTCTCATACAGGTTGGGTTTGTATGTTCCCTGGCGCTGTATGCCAGGTCCTAGGAATCTGAGCTGACTCCAGGGCTCCTGGCAGTGAGAGCCGCAGTACTGGCCTGGTGGTAAGGAGTGGCACTGCCCATTCAAAGGCACACAGTTTTAATCTGGCGGCTGCTCCATGGGAGGACAGGCAGTCTTCTGTCCTTGAGGACACCTAACAACAACAATCCAGGTGTGTTGGAGCAGGTGTTGTGTGCTGCTTTGCCTTTGAGACTTTCTTATCTGCTCACTGCCTAACTTCAGAGCCTGCTCTGATGAAGATAAGAAGGCCTCTTTCTGTATTGCAGCTGATGGGTCCTCCCCGTCCTACTCTGCCAGTTGTTATTAAGTAGATATCTGATCAAGGACCCATATCCTATCTGGCTAGAGTGAAACCTGTTCCTTGCCCTGTGTCTGAATTAGCAACTCCGTCAGGCTGTCCTCTGTGGAATATTAGAGGATAGGGCCTGGGTTATTATAGCCACATGATTTGTTAAAGCCACATAACTTCTACCAAGAGAGGAGATAAACTTTTCACTTAGAAATGAGACTTTAGTCTGGGAGCATGGTCTAGTTCAAAGTTATAATAATCTATGAGGCCACGTTTGTAGTCAGACTTTCTGAGGAATTGAAGTATGCAGTGGCCACTTGGTTTTAGTCCTTGTCATCTGTGGGCACTCCTCTGTCCTTCAGGATCCCTAAGAGTCACATGTCTCTTGGAGGCAGTAAGTTTGTGGCTGGACCCACCTGCAAGATTAATTAACAGAAGACACAGCAGTACATTCTCATGTCATCTGGTGGATTAGAATACCCAGACTGGACTAACTCCTGCATATACTTCATACCATTTGTGTCTGTGTGGTCTCAGAGGGGGAGCCCTGCTGGATCTTTGCTGCTGAATCTATGCTAATCTATGCTAACCACCTGCAACTCCTTGAGAAAAAAAATGGATGATCTCCCAGGTGACTTAACACCTTGGAAATGCATTTAGGGGCGCTGGTCAGCTATGACGCTGCTCAGACTTGATGGTGTCCACATTTGGGTTGGCTTTTTTTTTTTAATTA